TCTCTCTCATTCTCTCTCTCTCAAATAAATAAATAAAATCATAAAAAAAAAATAAAGTGCACAATGTAATGGCTTTTAGTATATTCAGAGCTGTGCAACCGGCACAATTGTCTTAGGACATTTTCACCACCATCCCGGAGTTCCCCAACTAGTGGATTATTATTGCCTCTGCCACCAGAGCTCCTCTCCCCATCTCTGGGCCTTCGCTTCCTTCCTTCCTTAGGATCCTGGAGTATCTCTGAAGCTAGCACTACTTTTATGCTACCTCTACCACACCTTTCCTGATTATGGAAGGCTAACACTGCTCCTTTCCGAAATTCCTGAGCATGCCTCAACACGCCTCTCCCCTGCATGACCTCCTCTCGCACAGTGATTTCCACCATCACCCCCCGCCCCGTTGCTAACTCCCATCTACAACTCCCTTCATTTCATAAGGGTGGACTATGAACTCTGGTAAGGCAGGGACTGAATTCTGTCTTCATGTGCCCACTCAGTAAACATCCACGCACTGAATGAAGGGGAAAAGACATCTCTGTTTTGGGCTGTCAGCTCTCAGGAGTAAGATCTGGGTGAGGAACTCATCCCACATGATTGGCAGACTGGCTTGAGAAGACAGGTGCTTGACACATGCTTTTGACGACAACACCATTTCTTAATTCTGTCAGTAGTTTTATGGCCATGGTTCCCTCTGACAACTCGGGCTCCTGTCACTGATAGAAGCCCCTGGGACCCTGCTTTCCACTCTCCCAAACTTGAAGGACTTACCACTTGGTCATCAATCTCCAACAAGAATCCTTCAGAGACTATTTAGACGCAGATAATGCACTTCTTCATTTGCCCAAGGGGCCAGCCTGTAGCAACACAAGGCTACTTTTCATCTTGCTCCTAAAGGCCTCTGTCTGAGGCAAAGGAGGGCTGCACTTTCTGGCAAATCATCACCGCTAATTCCTAGCTTCATTTAGTAGCAAATTCCTTGGTAACCTGGTAATAGTGTTAATGTTCATGAGGTAGTCATGGAGCACTGGACTGATGTCTGAGGAGTTTAAAAATAGAAGGGTCTCTTTAGTTTCTCATTTACTCATAATTGTAACTTCCTGCTCCAGAACTCCTAAGTGTTCAGCAGCTGGGGCACGGAAGCAAAATTACTCCTGACTTCCACTCATGCAAAAAGCATTTGCTGCTAACACTTTACATTTCTATAATGCTGGAGGGTTTAAAGTGTCATTATATATATATGGTCCTGAGTACCACATTTAAAGAGAGCAGGGAGGAGATTATTAATCCCATTGTACAAATCAAAATTCAAGACACACAGAGGTTAAGTAAGTTGCTTGTAATTACATGATTACCAGTTACTAGAATATGGACTCCCTGGGGACAGGAATCCTGTCTGATTCACCTCTGAGGTGGAAATGATTAACATAATACCAAGTGCTCAGATCCCAGCCCAGCTAAGCGCCCAGCGGCAAGGGCGCCATTCTAAGCACTGATTTAAGGCAGAAAAAGAATGAAAATGAAGGTAAGGGGATGCCCTGGTCTTAGTCATGGAGGGGCCGACTGTCTGGGGAGGCCACAGGGACACAGGAAATGACCGGAGAGTAAGGGGATATTAAAAATAATGACAGGTGGTGTGCTGATCATGGTTGGCTAAGATGGGAGGGCATCTGGGGAAGAAGTGACTCCTGGGTAACCCTTCCAGGCTCCTGAGAGACAGCAGAATGAAGGCCTTAAGGATGAGGACATCCAGGGGTCTCATGAGGCCTCATGCTGCTCATTGCTCTCTGCTCACCAGCAGCCTGCCCCACCACCCCCCGACCTTGCACACAGAACAGACAGGCCTGCCCTCGGCTCTCTGTCTACTCACCTTTGCTTGCCATGTTGGTACTTTGCCCAGCCCCCAATCTCTATCATAATATAGTTAAAATCTAAAATGTGATATTCCTTTCAAAACTTTTCCTGAGAGCTTTGAAAACTTCTCAAAGTTTTCCAACTTGCAAACTTTTCCAGCTAGATACTAGAATTTTTCGGTCCTGAAAACCCTCAAGACTTGGATTTATACCTCTTTTACAGCACCTCCCATGACCTGCCTTACAGCAGTTATTCCGATGTGTGTCTCTTTCCTGTGTAGGCTCCTTGAAAGCAAGAGGTGTGTTTCACTCTTCTTTGTACCCTAGAAAACACCTTGCATAGTACTTTGAGCACAGTGGGCTCTTGGAAAGCATTTGTCAAATAGGACTGAAAAATGCAGGTAGAAGTTCAGCGCTGTTTAATGAGTTGTGTGTGCTAAGACTCTTGTGGATGGGGAGAAGGGGGAGCATCAGACGTGGTGCGGGACAGGACCTCGGATGGCCAGCTGGTGGGGGCCTGAACGCTGGCCAGAGAAGTGAGACACGATGGGCCACAGGCTGCATGAGCAGGGAGATGTCCTGAATGAGAATATGTAACTCCTGTGTGGCAGACACACTGGCTCCCAGCACTGAGAGCCATGCAGAGTGCATGGCTGGGAGGCCATAGTACTAGCCTCTGTGAGGAGCAGATCAGATGGAGGAGAGAGGAGGTGACAAAACCTTAGAGGTTTGCCAACATGGAAACTGGAGTGGAACACATTCCATTTGTCCACCTGATAAAGATTTCCTGAACACCAGACTGTAGGCCAGGGTATGATGTGCTGGGGGCAGCAAAGATAAACAAAAGATTTCACAATAATCAAGGAGATTATAGCTTAATAACGTTGCCAAGTTGTTAATTTTTAAAAATGTAGTAACATCTATGATCAAGGGCCTCTCAAATTATACTGCGTGCCGTGGGCATCCAGAAGGACACACTATGTCTGTCGGGGGGGGGGGGGGGTGTCAAAAGACTTCAAAGGAAATGTACATTTGAGGTGGTCTCTGAAGGAGTTGGACAGGCTGGAAAGAACATTCTAAGCAGAAGGAGTAACAGCATGGATCAAGGCATAGAAAAGTCAACTTGGCTAGGGTGAGAGAGATCAACAGTGGAACACCAATATCACTAAAAGAAAGGTTAGAAAGGAGTAAGGGAGTGTGTTTTTTGCTTATAAAGATCCTGGCTATCAGCAGATCATGTTATTTTTGATTGATTGCTACATACGAGGCATTGTGTGAGACAGCGTGAATAAAACCCACTGCTGCCACCATCTATCCCCCTAGGAGGAACAGCCAGTGTTTACTGAGGGCTTGTGATGTGTCAGACCGAGTCTGAGTGCTTTTAAATTCCTTTGCTTCTCACAAATATTGGAGGGCAGGGATTATTACCCCCATTTTAGATGAGGAAATGGGACTCGACAGAGGAGCCTCCCCAAGGCCAGCGGGTGGCAGAACTGGGATTCAAACCCAAGTCCGTGTTCTTTTCACACCTCCATGTTTGTGTGGGGGCAGATTTTGGAGCTGTCTTCGAGAACAAAGGAAGATGCCAAGTAAGAGGGGTAGAGGCTCAAGAATGGAGTGCAGCAAAATTAAGTTTCTTCAAATAGGTCAGAAGAGCCCTGGTGATTTCTCCTTTTTCACACTCTCCCCCACAATCTGATCTTCTTTTAACCAGACAGGCACATCCCGTACTTTCTCATTTCTCTAAATATTGTCATCCAGAAAGGATGGACCCAAGAGAGCAATGCCAAACTCCATTTTTTCCTCTTTCCTTAGAACTTCAAGACTCTGACAACGTTCAATTCAACATTCTACTTTTAGATATACGGCCAGATGATTTGAAAGTGAAAATTTCAAATGTAGATCTGAGATACGACTTTAGCTCATCTCCAAGAAAGGCATCACCATCGATGCGCTGAACATGCACAAAGATGAAACAGAGATTGACTTCTAAGACGAAGTCTCTGTCCTGACAGTTTTAGAAGCATCATAGAAACCAGCAAGCAGAGAAGGTGACTGCTGTCAGGATAGCACCTTATCTAGCCTGTTACAACTTTGCGGGCAGGGAATATTTACTGCTGACTGGATTCAGAAAAGTTGAGCACAAACGTGCACTCTGTGTTTAAAGGGAAATAAAAGAAGCAAGATGGTTATGTATCATTCTGATGGAAAATAAGA